GAAAAAGAATTGTATGCTTTAGTGCGTGTGCTACATGTTTGGGAACACTACCTTAGACCGCATGAGTTTGTCATCCATACCGATCATGAAACGCTTAAGTACCTAAAAGGTCAAACTAAGTTGAACAAGCATCATGCCAAATGGAGTGAGTTTATTGAATCTTTTCCTTATGTGATCAAGTACATTAAGGGTAAAGAAAATGTAGTTGCCGATGCACTTTCACGCATATGCACGCTTGTCACTAAACTTGAATTGAATGTTATTGGCTTTGAGCACATAAAAGACTTGTATGAGCATGATCCTTCTTTTGCTACTCCTTATGCTAAGTGTTTGACACACACGTCTTGGGAACGATACTACATAAAGGATGATTATCTTATGAGAGCTAACAAACTTTGCATTCCCGAGTCTTCTCTTCGTTTGCTCCTTTTGCAAGAGGCTCATGGAGGCGGACTCATGGGACACTTTGGACGCGACAAGACATTCGCCACGCTCTCCAAGAACTACTTTTGGCCCAAAATGTTCCGCGACGTCTCACGCGTCACCAACCAATGCTCTACATGTCGCAAAGCTAAGTCTAAAGCTCAATCTCATGGTCTTTACATGCCTCTTCCAATTCCTTATCAACCTTGGGAAGACATTAGCATGGATTTTGTACTTGGTTTACCTAGAACTCAAAATGGAAAGGATTCCGTGTTTGTTGTTGTGGATAGATTTTCTAAGATGGCACATTGCATTCCTTGCAACAAGATAGACGATGCTTCACACATTGAAAATCTCTTTTGTAGGGAAATATTGCGACTCCATGGAGTACCAAAGACAATCGTCTCCGATCGTGACGTCAAGTTCTTGAGTTACTTTTGGAAGATCCTATGCGCCAAGCTTGGAATCAAGCTCTTGTTCTCATCCGCATACCATCCGCAAACCAATGGCCAAACGGAGGTGACGAACCGCACACTATCCACTCTACTTCGCGTCTTGATCAAGAAGAACATCAAGGAGTGGGAAGCTTGTCTACCCATTCCCGAGTACGCCTACAACCGTGCACGACATTCGACTACCGGTAAGTCCCCCTTCGAGGTCGTCTACGGCTTCAACCCGTTGTCCCCTTTGGACATTCTACCTCTTCCTCTACAAGAACGCACCAACATGGATGCAAGTGCACGGGCAAGCTACATCAAGAAGATGCATGAGGATACAAGACAAACCATCGAGCGCCAAGTACAACGACTAGCGACCAAGCTCAACGTCAACAAGCAACCCATGGTCTTCAACATTGGTGATCTAGTGTGGCTACACCTTCGCAAGGAACGCTTCCCCAAGGAACACAAATCCAAGCTTCTTCTTCGAGCCGATGGACCTTTCAAGGTGCTAACATGCTACAACGACAACGCCTACAAGATCGACCTACCTCGAGACAAGTACAATGTGAGCGACATCTCAACATCAAGGACCTCGCACCATACCGTGGAGATGAAGCTTTTGATCCGAGGTCGGATCTCTCTCAAGGGGGGGGGGGGGAGATGATGCGGAGCATCCCTCCATCATCCCCATGGACACTACTTCGACCACACAAGCTCCAGGCGGACCCATGACAAGAGCCCAAGCACGTGCCATCCAATCCGAGGTTGACTCTCTCCTTCTTGAACTTCCCTTTAACCCATTTGAGACATGGCTACTACCTCAAACGGAGACACTTTGCATACTCAGGTACCATGAAAGCAACCAAGGAGAAGGAGTGGTGCAAGACGGACATCAAGATCAAGGAGGCATTCCCCCCAGCCTTCAAGGACCGGTACAACGGCCCAACAACCGCCCGGGCGGAACAACCGGCCAACTACCGCTCAACTACCGGCCACCATTCTGTGATCAAGCGGTGCAAGGCCGGTACAGCACCGGATGTACCGGTAAATCTCAAATGACCGGAACTACCGGCCCAATGACCGGTACAACTGCTGGAGCCCTCGACGACCATCTGCCGAAGCCAGCGCCTGACGCCAGCGGTAGTACCGCCTTCCTCGACCGATACTTCCGCCCTCTCTGAGTCGCCAGCGGTACAACCGCCTCCTCGACCGGTACAACCGGCCTGTCTGCGCACAGTGTACGGGCCTGAGGCCCATGTGCCCTTCACTTCGCCCCCATTTGCACTAAGACTATAAATAGATCCCCACCACCTCCTAGTTAGGGTTAGCATTGGTTTAGCTCATATTTGATGTGAGAGCCCTTGCTCATCCACTTGGTTACCTTCTCCTCGGAGATTGCGCCTCCTCGGAGAAGATCCTTCCAAGGGATTCAAGACCCCCTCTAGGGTGGACCCCATAAAGACCTCCTCACGGAGAAGAACCCGGTTACTCTTGTATCGTCCTTTGTTGATTTTGAATCTTGTGCTACCTTATGTGTTCGGTGATCTAGCACTTGTGTGATTGATCTTGTTGGTTGAGTGATTCTCTCGTTTCTCCCCGTCTTTTTCCTTGTGTTCTTCCACTCGTTCTTCGTGCTCCTCGTAGGGATCCCCTCCAAACGTGAAAGATCGTCCACATAGGGTTTCGCCCTACATCACCCTGTGTCGCCCCAAGTCAAATTCACGGTTGTCTTTCCCTTTTCTGAATAGTCTCTTACATGTCCCACCACTATATCACTCCGCCTACTTCTGTACTTATCATCCACACTTTGCCATGTGTACTGCCATATCTACTTTCATTTTCTCCTCAACCTCATCCGAGTGGCATCCCTCACTCGGGCATGCTCTGCCATATCCCAGTGGGACTTTTGCATCCCTGGGTGGAAGGGGACAAGGATCTCTTTCCTAGCGCTGGCGGCACACCCTTAACTCTGGACGCCCCGTTCCCCTTTATGATGGCTTCTCTTGTGTTCTATGCGTCCGTCGCCTTGGCTCGGCCCTGGTGTAGATTCTTGTGTGTTCGACTACCAAAGATGGTTTTTCATACTTGCTTGGGTTCCTGGGGACGGTGGCGTTACGGCCGGCAAGGTGTGCTTTTGGCTTGGGCAAAGCGTTTGTTGTGATCATCCATGTTTTGTGTGGCCGGATACTTGCCTAGCTCTCTGGAGAGCACCTCTTCTTACTGACGGTGCGGTGTCCATCGAGCCAGGATGAGAGTGTTGGGTCCCTCTTAGGTAACAAAGAAGGAAGGATGTCCCTCTTAGGTAACCGAGAAGGAAGGATAATTGTCATCCAAGCCTGGTGGAGTCAGCTTGTTGGCATTCTCCCTGGCATTCGGCGACTCCTTTGGCTATCTGGTCTTCTTAGTTATTTAGGATCTTGAGAGTGGTGGGCGACACACAGGCTAGTTGTGCTTACAATTATATTTCTTTTACTCGTTTTGTCTGTTGCTTTGTAAGCTACAATTCCAGCTCCATGTATTTTCCGGCCATTGTTATTTGTTGGCCTTGTGTAATCTCTAGCCGGTTGATGGCTTTGTTAATTCAAAGCCGAACTCTTCTTGGGTTGTCTTCTATAAAAAACATATGTTTCCCTCCCATTATTGCCCTTGTATTGTCAGAGTGAAACTCAAATGGCATTAGTAAAAAGAAAGAGTAAAACACATATATCACATATCTCCACACCAAAAGCACATGATACCGAGACGCATGTCCTTCGGGACCCAAAAATTCACTCAGAAGGATGTAGCTAGGCGGACATGGATTTGTGGCACTCAGGTCTTAGGGCACCGAGTCCCTCGCGCGTGCATTTATTTTTCGCTTTGATTTTCAAACTTTTATATCTTTTGAACGCAATGTTCAAATTAAGTTTTGTTTTCATATTCATGTTTCTCGCGGCGAGGGATTTCAAATAAGTTTCATTTTGAATATGTTTTTAATTTTTAAAAAATAAATTTTATGTTTCAACTTTTGAAACTTAGTACGGCCGCCCGATAAAATCATGATTTTTGTGCCAATGACCAATAAAAAAAATTCCTTCAAAATTTTATCTACGAAACTTTGTAAGAGTGAGTGAGAAATCGCAAGTTTCAGTTAGCAAATTGTAAGTTTCAATGATGGAAACAAAAACCTTATTGTGCTCTTGTGCAGGATCCAATTACTTCGTGAATCGTGAGGCAATCAAGTGGCTGGGCAGGGCTTTGCAGATGCGTTCCCGGGCACCTACATGCTCCTATAAATTTCCAGTAAGTCCATGATTTTCTAGAGACTACATTATAATAGGTCCATAGTTTCTGGAGAGATAATATTATTATCCTTCCGGTAAGTCGGTAGTTAAATAATATTATAGCAAATCCATGATTTTCTAGAGACTACAGTATAATAAATCCATAGTTTTCTGGGGAGATAATATTATTATCCTTCTGGTAAGTCGGTAGTTAAATAATATTATAGTAAGCCCATGATTTTCATGTGACTACACTTTAATAAGTCCATAGTTTTCTGGAGAGATAATATTATTATCCTTCCGGTAACTTGGTCGTTAAATGACATTACAGTAAGTCCATGATTTCCTGGAGACTACACTATAATAAGTTCATAGTTTTCTGGAGAGATAATATTATTATCCTTAATATTAATATATTGTGATTTTAGAATACCTGAAAACATTATCTCTTATCGCGTACGTGGAAGTAAGCATTCAAGACCATATCAATTCGGCAGCTGCCTGTAGGTTGCTTGCTTGACCCAAACTTAATGGATGTGTCCACGAAGAAGCTGTGCATGCAAGTCGTGTGGCACGTGTACCTTGCTACTAGAACCCTACCATGGATGGGAAAATGAAGCTGCTACCTACTCGTAATCTCTCTACTATATATACATCACTCGACCAATGTGTTATGCAAATAAAGTCTCACGCACTGCGCAACTCAATCATCGGCCGTCCGCGCGTCCATCAGCTCGGAGAAGACCGTCCATTAATCGGTGAGTAGAAACTGATCTTCTTTTGTTTAGTTTGTTGCTGAAATACCTCACTCCGCCTCAATTAAGCTAGCTCTGATTGATCGATTGATCTAAAGTTATCAACCAGTGCTACGAAGATGAGTTCCTCCGACGACATCGCCGGTGGAAAGAAGACTTCGTGGCCGGAGGTGGTCGGGCTGACCATCAAGGAGGCCAAGGAGATCATCCTCAAGGACAAGCCCGACGCCGACATCGTCGTGGTGCCGGTCGGCTCCGCCGTGACCGAGGACTTGAGGCCCAACCGTGTCCGCATCTTCGTGGGCACCGTCGCCGAGACCCCCCACGTTGGATAGATGGATAGCTCTTGCTGGCTTGCTGTGGCCTGCATACATAGATGCTGGCTCACGAATGAATGAATAAGGAGAAATAAAGAAGTATGCAGGTCATGTGTGCTTAATCGGTGCTTAAAGTGTGTGCTTAATCGGTGTTGTGGAAATTTTTATTTTATTTTAACTCGTTTTGCGAACTTGTATCGAACTATGTATTTGATGGCTACTTTGTATAATAATATGGATGCATGCATCATTTTGATGCAGAGACCGGGGTAATCATTCTCTAAAAGAAATCATGTGCTTGATCAGTCAGTTATGTATGTATATGTGCCAATCTGTGAAGTTCCATCCAGGGTACATTAAGACAAGCCTAATTAAATCTGTGTATATGTCAATGCCATGCATGTAATTTCCGAGCAATCCCAAGTTCACAACTCAATTTTAATCACCAATTCTGGACAGCGAAATACCTTTCCTCTAAAAAGTTTAATCACTAATTCACTACCAAGAAAATATCCAAAAAAAAACAGAGATGTGTACCTAAGGAAACGACCGAGCATCTAATGATGCTTCGTGTGCTTGCGCGTGAGGTCTCATCTCACATCCTGAGATGGATCTTCCTGCCGAACCAGACGTCCAGTGCTACCGGCGACGTCCTCACCTGGTGGTCTGCTCTTCAGCATGGCATCCCTCCCAAGCTGAGAAAAGGTGTCAACTGGTTGATCCTCCGCTCGCTACGATGCATGTGCTTGAGAGAAGCACAAGGGTGTTAGTTCAAGAACACCTCTCTGCTTCATACATCAGTAGTCGATAAAATTCACCAGCGAGCATTGCCTTGAGTAGCGGAAGGTGGGGAAAATTAGTCTTAAGCGAGTATAGTTACTTAGTGTTGCGATGACGGAATGGGAAGTTTGGGCTGCCGTTTATGTGGTGGTTATTTGTATATGATTCTTACTTCCTATCTTAATATATGGGTACACTTGTCTCATGCATTTCTCAAAGAAAAAAAAGATGTGTATATCATGTTTCTTATATGTCGGCAAAGGGTTTGAGCAAAAGGTTAAGCCTCATCAACAATAATGTTGATAGGCACGGGGTCACACTAAAACTAATTCTCATCTCAGAAGTTTGTCCAAAGCACGAAATAATCCATTTAAGATATCTCATGGGGCTCGAGTTCTTCTCTAAGTAGATTAAGGTGTGGTTAGTATATTCATTCTAATGCCATCATTAGGTCTAAGTTGTTGAAATAATCCAGCAACATGCCCACAGTATGCATATTTCATGAGCATTTTAGTAAACACATGAACAACAAGCCCACATCTCATAAATTAAAAATAACTGGTCAAGTCCATTTACCAATAAGTACATCGACACACGCCATTGGTCAGCGTGTATTTATTCATCCATCATTATTGAAACAACTTATTCATCAGCATGCATAAGTGCATCCATTTTGTCTCTCGCTCGCAAAGCTTGCTAACCAATGGAAGGGGAGGTCGCTACAGTGTCGACGATGATGCGGACACGGTTGGTCCTGAAGTCGAGGGTCATCGCCAAGCCAGCAGGAAGGACATCGATGTCGGCGTCAGGCATGTCCTTAAGGATGATCTCCTTGGCCTCCTCGATTGACTTTCCCACTACCTCAGGCCATGACGTCTTCTTCTCCTCTCCGGCGGGGGCTTTTGGGGCGACGCAGCTCATCCTCGATTCCGTGAGCTGCAAACAATTGATCAAAATAGTTCAATTCAGACTACAAATACAATAACAGTTGGCCCAAATAGTTCACCAAATCATCTTTCTTTTATTGGTTCAGACTACGGATCAAAATAACATAATGCTGGTCATATAGCTTTTTTCGAAAAGGAGGATAACCCCGGCCTCTCCACGCGGACGATGCATACAGAGAAACTTATTGACAGAAAGCATATGGGAATGGAAAATATGGAATACATACCCAACACTACTCACCAGCTAAATGAACCTCGAGCTCACTCTGAACTTGACCGGTATGAGTATTTGCATAACGCTAGGCCTATCTATAGGGAAGATCTATCACTAGAGAAGATGGGGATAGGATGCTCCCACATGCATGAGACAAGCACGAGAGAAGATAAGATGCTCTCACACATGCAGGCGTGGAGCACGACTACTTATTTTATTGTGCTAACTAGCCTCATTTGCAGAGAAGATGCTCTGCACATGCGTGCATGCACCGTGTGGTACACGACGTGGCTCCTAAATTGGACACACTTGATTTCGTAATGGACAACACGTGGGGCTGCTAAAGAAGACGACAACGTGCCCGTGATTCAAGGGTCGATGGACTTGTAACTCGGTGTAGATCATGTCGGCTACTTGCGTACTCCCTCGTCAAGGTTTATTAGCCATACTAGTATTTTAGATCAAAAGTTGATCATCTATATAACTCAATCGCATTGTGTTATTTATATAATACAAAAAGTATATAATAGGATTTGCATTCAAAAGAGAATTCACACACTATAATTTTATCTATATAATTTATATCTTATTAGTTCATTTTATGGTAAAAGTTTGACAATAATTACATTTCGGCATAATAAAACTGGACAAAGGGAGTAACAAAAATACAGATAAGCGGGGAGGACTAAGCTAGCGGAAGAACTTTTTTTGTACCACCTCCGTTCCAGATTGGCCAAGGGAGATAATTACACCGGTGATGCTTAAACTTGTCATGAATGTCTTGAGCTAGAGGCGAGATAAGGAGGTGATATGTGTAAAGTTGGAAGCGTTCCTACTCCCAGAGGGAGCCGCATGTTGTATATTTATTGAGGACGAGAAGCCCTCGTCGTGGCGTACAAGCAAGGACTCGATCGATTCCTGATCTGATCGGGCTAGGCAAGAGTTTGAAAGAGATACAGAAGGAGGTTGAGATAACATGGAGTATTAATAGAGTACAGAACCAATATGTCTAACACCCTCCCTTAATCTCAACTATCCTACATTAAGATTTCTCTTGAATTCTTCAAATAGTTTGACTGGCAAAGCTTTAGTGAAACCATTTGCCACTTGATCTTTGGAAGGAATAAATGGTATGTCCAACTTCTTCTCTGCAACTCTTTCTCTCACAAAATGAAAGTCAATTTCAATGTGTTTTGTTCTGCCATGAAAAACTGGATTAGCAGAAATGTAGGTTGCCCCCAAATTGTCACACCGTAAACAAGATGTACGATGTTGCTTGATTCCTAGCTCATGAAGAAGTGATTCCAACCAAATAATTTCAGCAGTGGCATTTGCTAAAGATTTGTACTCGGCTTCTGTACTTGATCTTGACACCGTGGCCTGATTCTGGCACTCCAGGAGATAAGATTAGAGCCAAAAAATACTACAAAACCTCCAGTTGATTTTTGTCATCACTACATCCTGCCCAGTCAGCATCAGAAAATGCACTAACAAGAGTAGAACTAGAATGTCTGAACTGGAAACCCAAACTTGCAGTATGTAGGTGCATGCAAATACTGGCAAACCTTGTTAATTGCAAAGGACATATCTGGCTGTGTCAATGTCAAGTATTGCAAGGCTCCCACTACACTCCTATATTTTGTGATTTCTTCTTCTTTGAGTGGCTCACCTTCAAATGCTAAAAGTTTTTCTGAAGAAGACAATGGTGTGGGTGAAGGCTTACAGTCCTTCATTCCCATACGAGTTGTTCAGTAGCATATTTTTCCTAATTCAATACTATGCCATCTTGAACTTTCTTAACTTCAATGCCTAGGAAGAAGTGTAGATCACCAAGATCCTTGAGAGCAAATTCTGAACTTAGATCATGCAGAAGAGCATTAGTGGCACTTTGTGAAGAACTTGCAACTATAATATCATCAACATATATTAACACGAATATGACTGTGTTTGCCTTGTTATAAATGAAGAGTGATGTATCAGCCTTGGATGCAGCAAAACCAAGATGCCTCAACTGAGAACTCAACCTCGAGTACCATGCTCTTGGTGCTTGTTTCAAGCCATAAAGAGGCTTATCAAGCTTGCACACATAGTGGGGTGTTTTCTTATTCTCATACCCAGGTGGTTGTTTCATGTAAACCTCATCTTCTAGAACACCATGCAAAAATGCATTCTGAATATCTAGCTGTCTCAAGCTCCACCCCCTGGACACAGCAATAGCTAGTACAAGCGTAATAGTTGCAGCTTTAACAACAGGACTAAAAGTATCTTCATAATCTAGACCATAACGTTGCTTACAACTTTTTGCAACTAGACGCGCCTTATACCTGTCAATCAAGCCATCTGCCCTTTTTTTGATTCTGTAAACCCATTTGCAAACAATGATATTTTTACCTCTTTGTTCACGTACAAGATGCCAAGTTTTGTTTCTCATAAGTGAGGAGTATTCTTCATCCATTGCACTTCTCCACCTCAGATCTCCGAGTGCATCTTCTAACCTCGTTGGTTCCCCTGCAATGCACAACATGCCATACGGTATAGTTCCATCGGTTCGAATTTTTGGATTTATTACACCTTTTTGTAATCGAGTTGTAACACGCGGGGTCACTGGTTGAACAGGACGTGTCATTTGTTGTGCAGATGGCGGGGCAGATTCAGCCACAGAAGATCCCGAAGAAGCATCAGATCCGCTTTGCACGGGAGATCTGAAATTGGACCTTGTAGCCTGCGGTATGGCCTCTGCTCCCGAGTCAGCAGCCACAGAAGATCCAGAACCGGTCGCTGTCGGGAACTCTGTTCGCCCGCGGGTGGCGTGCGGCCGTCCCGAGCCAGCCGCTGTGCTTGGCGCATGCATGTGCATGGATCGCGGGCCCGCCGCTGCACCAGGCGACATGGCGCCCGCCCATTGGCTGGGCTGGCTCCTCCTAGGCGCGCCGTCCCGCGCGGATCCTCGCACGCGATCCTAGCAATTTTGACGCACAAGAGTTCCAGGTGACTCGGGATCCACCTCATGTCCAGCGCCTATTTCGTTTCCTTCTGGTTCATGAAATATAACATTGTTTTCAACGAAATTTTGATCA